GAAGGCTGCCTGTAGGGTTTGATCCTAGGGCCCATCAGGTGGGTTCCAGGTGGTGGAACAGGAGTCACCGGTGTGGTCACTTCCATGTTGGATAGCACAGGGCTGGGCTGACTGCAAAACCTGCATTGGCACCAGGAGTTTATGCTCTGCAGCTCTGAAGACAAATTCCACAGTAAGTGTGGGCCATTTTACACTCCGCGCTGTTTCACTGAAACCAGTGAACTATTCCTGGTACCATATACTAGGTCCAAAATGTATTTCTGCAAAGCTCATGCTTCTTTCAAAGTATCTGCATTATACACTGAAGATCACGAAACCTGCCCTCCCTGGAACCCTAAATATATTTTTGGTATTTTCTTTATCTCTACTGCCAACAACAGAGTGTTCAGTGTTGCAAAATCCACTATCACTAGTCCACATCACTGTTTCAGTGGGTACAGTTCAAAGATGACACAATTTGCCTGTAAAGCAGATGCAAAAAATCCTTTTATGGAGGACTTTCCATTCTAAAAGATTTTTACATTTAATTTTTCACTTGAGATGCAATGTTCCAAGCAACTGCAAGGTCTGAAATTAATTTTACAGCTTAAGTAGAAAAAGCAACCTCCAGTGTATTACAGAAATATATTTTGAAAACTCATTTTGACAAATAGTTTCCATTAACTTATTTATGCTGACACGTTATCCATACTAACATTCGTTGCATAGATATATACATATTTTAAACCAATTTTTTAACAAAAGGGTTTTCTGGTAAGCTGCCTAGCTTACCACTTGCTGCTGAGAGCCTGGGCTAGACTACAACTTTTGTGTGGCTTAAACATTTCAAAGAGGAATAAATCATAACTGGGATCTATTGTTCTGTCAATATTTGAGACAGAAACAGTGCAGAGAGCTCTTCTCTTGTTCAACTGCAATGCTGGAAAACACTGGCAATCCCAAAGTTAATGGGCTTTTGGGTAAGCATTCTTATTTTCCAGGGTTCCATTAGGAGGCCGAAGAATTCCAACTGTTTTGTAACACTTCCTACAAATGTTTAATACCAGAAGGCCCAAACATTTACCTGAATGATTTATACGTCAGAATTTATGCTTTAAATATTAGGAAGTATGTCTTAAAAGTAGAGCCATGGCTGCATGGTGCTTGTTTCTGCCATTAAAATGTGTTACCTAGGAAATGACCCCCTTCTGCCACCAGAAGAATCCAGAGTGTAATTATTCTTAAACAGTTACTAAAAGGTGAATTTCATGCAGTGGGGTGAAAATGCTTAAATTGCATAAAAGTTTAAAGGAGGAAATACACACTTATGCTGGAGCTAATACTGCCTGGTGTTAAGGCTGCCATGGGAAAAATACATACAATAGATGCTGTATGAAATTAAATATAACTTAATTTAATGATAATTGCTTAATTTATTTTATTACCTAAGAAAAACTCAGTGCAACAACTACCAATAAATGTGCACTGCAAAACAGAATTAATACTGGAATTCATGGAGACAGTCATGCAACCAGCTCCTCTACAATCCTTCTAAATCCATGTCAAACCAAAGCTGACACATAGCAAATAGATAGAGAGAAAATCTGGAGAAAGAAACACTGTGAAATATAAGAGCAAAGCTCTTTTTCTCTGTACAGATCTAAAGGTTTGGCCCTCTAAAATTAAAGAAGCAGAGATAATATTTAAATAAATGCATCCTTTAGAGGGGAAAAAAAAAAACATATTTATGCCATTACTTAAAGCACTTACACACTGTTTTTTTAATCTTCCACCACAAAAACCACTCTAAAAATAGAGGCTGATAGTAACCTAACCCTTGCCTTGCTCTCTCCAAGGACGATGGTGGAAACACGTATTTTATGGCTTTAGTTTTTTCACACCTCCTTTCCCTAGCAGACCTTGGATTTGTGCTTTGGTTCCCTGCTTTCGTTTCCAGTCTGGTAAGTGGGTACAGCTCTTCTTGCACACCTGGAGTCACAGGATGCCCCCAGAGCTGGGGCTGTGGCTCTGTGGTTTGCAGAGCACTTTCTTGGTTTCAGAATGCAAGGTTTCGACTGAGACATTGGGATTTCAGCTCTCAAAGCTTCTTTTGAACTCAGAAACTTTCAGAAATTAATTGCATCATTAAGTAAAGGAAGAACCACATGTTTCTGTAGAATGGGAAACACACATATATATGGTAAATTTTTCTCCAGCCTCACAGCCCCCAGCACACTTCTGCTGACAGGGAGAGACTGCTCAGCACTACCAGGGACTTCCTCCTCCTGCTTCCACCTGATAAGGGAACACATTCTGCAGTGAATTAATCTCCTTCACTGCATGACACAAAGCATTAATCACAACAGTTTACCTGAGCCACAATAAAACACTAGTCCAGACACTTAACCTATGCAGATGTCAAGCCCACATATCTGCTGAATTTGCAAAAGCTCCACCGTATCCCAGCAATAAATGCACCTTAAATACATCAGTGACAAGCAGGGGCAGGAGTTTTACTCAGAACTCTGTAACCTCAGGAACTTCACCAGAAACAACACCAGCATTAGATTTTACCAGGTACCTGAAGAGCTGCAAAAATTTAAAACTTTATGGACAGCTCTTGCTTACTGTGTTCAAAATAGTGTAGGTGAGCAGCAACAGGTGCAGCAAAAGGGCTACAATGGTGACCAGGGGAATGATGAAATTCTAAAAGCAGTTGAATAGTGCTATGAAAGGTGAGAGACAGCACAACTCACCAGAAATTAATTTAATTAGCTATGAGAGAATCATTAGTAGAGAATATTGTGGTACAGTGGATGTGCACAGACAATGAGCTTGGACAGGAAATTGGGAAGAATAATCATCAGACAAGTGAAGGTCTAGCACTATCCAAACAAGGGAGGAAGGAGTCAGATGCTGCACATAGCTTCCACTTCAGAAATTTGGATTTACATTTTTAAGGAAAAAAAAAATCCCTGATTTTATTGAAAAGAACTTTTCAATGCATGAAATTTGACTTGCTAACAAGCCCATGCATCACACTTTTGGAAGTTGCCTGGGTACCTGTGTTCATGTTTCTGGCCAAAAACTGTCTGGAAATTTTACTTCAACAACCCTGGCAGCAGGAAGCCTGGGTGATCATCCCTTTTACAGATCACCATATTAAAAGGTTAAACCACTACTCTAAATATGTTACATTTTGGTGACATTTTATAGACACAAAGCATTTTTTGACAATTATTCCATGAGTGTAGAAATGAATGCACACCTACACTTCATTTAATATACAGTGAATTGCATTCCCAACTCAGAGCAGATGTACAGAAAATATTGTGTCCCCATGTCATTCCTGATTAGCCAATTCCTGTCATTTTAAGGCAGTAAGCTTGGGATTCACACTGGAGTTGCTGCCAGTTCCTGCAGCTCAGCTGCCAGACAGGGAGGTGGTTCTTCAGCACAGAGGTGGTTCTCAGGTTGTGCCAGCTGGACCCCAGTGCACAAGCTTGAAAAGGGAAAAAAACAAAACCCACAACAATCCCACTAAAAGAATTAACTCTCTGTGATCTGCCTTTCCCTTGTTCAAGTCAGCATTTTCAGAGAGAACTGATTCTTTAAGAGTAACATAAATAACACCCAGAACGAGAGGCACCTATGGAACAGCAAATGTGTGCACCAAAGTAAACAGGGTGAAGCTGGAGGTGTCCCCTAAATCCCATTGGAGGGTGGTGGCAAACACCACCACAGCACCCTTCGTCCTCAGCTGTTTCATGTTTTCTCCTTATTTCTAGTCAGAGGGTGATTCCTTTTTGACTCTGGCATTCTGCTGGCACACCAGCACACCTCCTTCTAATAAATCCTTTATTTGGTTTATATGAAGTGCTAATATTTGGGTAACAAGGATGATCTTTTAGGTAACAGACTTTCCTGCCACTGGTGGGAAATAAGGTAAGCACAGAGCACAGTTCTAATATTTGCACAGATGAGAAAGGAAGTCACAACGTGCTTCCATTTACTCAAGGTACTGTTCCTACTGACGTCAAGACAGTTTGCATAAATATGGCCAAGAAGCAGATTTAACCCCCCAAGCAAAACCTCTGGAAACACTCCATTTGATTAGAAAAATAAGGAGCCTTAAGAGAAAAAATCAGAAGGGTTTGAGAGACAACATTGATGGTGACATCGATTTCCTTCAGGAAGATGTCAAGGTGAGAAGGCTTCCAGGGAGAGGTGGCAGTGTCTTCAGTTAACCTCTAGACTCATGGGTCTTTTTCTAATTTTTTGATCCACAATCTCTGGACCAAATAATCTTTCTTTCATATTAGATCTGTTTTTCAGGATACTTCCATGCCTCTAAAACATCTAAGGTGTAAACACATCAAAAGCTCAGCTAATCATTAGGATATGTGAATTGGAATAGAACAGGATGCAGACACAAACTGAATGCTATTTTAAGACTTGCAGTGGTAGCAAAAATCTGCAGAGATTTGTGCAGGATTTCTTTTGCTGTTTTTGGCTAAGTGCCCAGCTAAGTGACAACACTTGAGATGTTCAAAAGGGAGTTTTCTGTGATTATAGCATGAAATACATTGAATTGATCTCATATCTTCCACTGTACACCATTTTATCCAAAAGCAAAGGCCTAGACTTAATAGTACTGTTAAATGATAGAATTATCACTCTTTTAGTTCCATTGTCCCTGATTTTTTTCTTTCAACTTTACATTTTAGATGCTAGTAAATAGCCATTGTGATAGCCAGGTTTCTGCTGAGGGTCACATACTAGAGCAACTCTTCTGTCAATCACACACACTGCAAAGCAAGCAGGGAAACCAGCCCTATCCTTCCTCACCTGATACCAATCAAACACATTTTAAAATGTACCACAGGATGTCTCACTGGCCTGTATGATTCCAAAAGCAGACAGCTGGGAAAGCAGCTGGATTTTGAACCAAATTTTGCTTTAGCATGTAGGACAATTGAGTAACTGTTTCTGAGTACAGCAGGAGTGTGAAATCCACTGACCTTTCTTTGCTAGGTTGCTGTTAGGTTCGTACTTCTCAATCAGCACTTGAACTTGTTCTTGTTTGAGTGGTGGATAAAGGATCTCATTTAATCGTGGATCCCGTTGCTTCAAATTTATGAAGTCCATCATCTGATCAACAGTAAGGTAGGGTTTGCTCTTGGCCCCACTAGAGAGAAATTGAAGCAACAGAAAAGTAATTTCAATACATTTCCTTGAAATCTTGTTCCGTGTCTGAAACTTCCCAAGGAGATTGAAACAAGATTCATACAAAACTATCATACAACAAAAACATTGCTCCACTATGTCTCTGGACTAATTTATTTTGCCGAAAGTTCTTCACCAGACATCTAGGAGGAAGATCTTTGACAATGTTCATCATTATAAGCATCAGTGGGATGACTTGGAGCAATGCTAAAAGCCTTTAATTCCTCTGAATTCTTGGAATTAAGCTATTTTTAAAAAGTAAAAGAGAAAAGAGCCGTAGGATTCAGTCACGAGCTTGCCACAAACACTCTGCTGGCATTCCTGGCCCAACTATTTGGGTTTACTGCTGAATAACAGCAGCCCTGATTTCATTATTCTGGTAATTTGTGTCGCTTCTTTTTTTATAAACCTTCTAAAAGCTTTGAGGTGCTCTGTAATGCAAGCAAAAAGATGTCTATTTAGAGAGTCCATGAAAAGAGCAGAGTTTGGTACAAGTTGTGCCCACATAGAAATCCAGGAAGCCTCTGGGGCAGGAGATGAGCTGAGGGCTGTCTGGAGCACTCAGGCCTGGCCCAGTTCTACCCTGCCAGGGAGCAATGGGAAGCCTCTCCTGGGTGCAGGAGGAGCAAACTGGGACAGGGCTGTGCTCTTCTAAAACCCCGACCTTAGGGACAACAACCTCAAAAGGGGGATGTGAGCACAGTCATGTTGCTAAAATGCATTCACCATTTGCTTTGGGGTGTATTTTGGAAATTACTTTCCTCTCATGTTGCTTACTGTTCTGACTCCATTGATCAGACTCTGCTGAAAGTGGAAGTACACAGATTGCTGCAAGGGGTAGAAGCACCAGGAGTTACAGAGCTCATAACTGAATGTATGAAATCAGTTGTAGCCAGCTGCTAATTTAATTTCACAGTGTGAATTCATCATACACAAATCATAAAAGTTACTGAATTTTTTTGCCAGTCTTAATTAAGCTTTTGGGGGTGATTATACATATTCTCAGGCCTATTTTGTGCTGTTATTGCTTATTACTCTTCTTTCTTTACTCTCCTGGAAACCTAAACTGTCCTGATCAATACAGAAAAACAAGACCTGGTAGTTCTGCTCCTCTAGGAACAAATTCCTTTAAAACTCAAGCCATCAGAAGTAGAGGTAAAAGCCTGGGAGAGAAGGAACCCTTGATCCAAGATTAAATAACAGCCCTGCTTGACATTTAAATCTGTTATTGGCCAGCACTGCATGCTGCTACAGTATAAATAACCTACTTTGCCATGCCCATAAAATCAGTGAATGGGAAAAATAAATAAATAAAGCAATGAGAGTCTTTCCTTACAATTCAGAAAAGATGTGGTCGATCTCAGGCCGAGGGCAGAGGTTGTTTAAGAACACTCTGTACACTTCTGGCGTGAAGTCGTCTTGAGGGATTGAATCATTCTGTGAAATGGGGAGAAAAATAGTGAGAGATATAGCACTTTTGTATGTTCTTTGCAAACAGATCACTCACTTTTTGGCTGCTTTTGATTTCCTTCCTGCAACCTAGAGGAGCCCAGATTCTGCAGGATTTTAAGTTCCCCTGAATCACAGAACAGCTTAAAGAGTACATCTTTAAAAAACTAGGTAGAAACACACCTATGAGCTTCCATGAGGCACAGTTATCTCATTTTCTGAGCACCTGGGAAGGAGGAGGAAGGCACATATCACCATCTAACCCCCTCACCCACAGCAGAAATAGGAGTATCAGCCCTGATGAAGCCTCTGAGCTCATCCCCAGGGGTGCCGAGACTGTGTTTTTGAGAGAGCAGAACAGCAGAGGATGAGGATGTCACTCATCTTTCCAAAGCTGTCACACAACTGGGGAACAAACTGGGTCACTGTGTCATTACTAATACACTTTTTCCCTGATAGCAAGAGCGATTCTGCCTTTTCCTTCCTGAAGATAAATGTTCAAGATGCCACAGTTCTGGGCAAGACTCAAGCAGCACAGCTTTTCCATCCATCTTTGTCCTAAGCACTCAGTGTAACACATTTGGCAATCAGATGTCTTTTAGAGGAATTGCAGAAGACATGCCAGTATTTTTTTTCCTTACATCTACAATTTAGAGTGATTTAAATTTAGTCCAACTTCTAGATGACAGTTTAATCACCATCACTACATTTTTCTTAAAAAAAATCAAATTATTTGAAACAATTACTGTGCTGGGTAAGTCCTTTCCATGAAGCTTGAGAGTCCTTCATCCAAAGCTATGACACGTGGTCTCTGGGAGCACCACGGGCCCACAGGATGCCTCCCCATGCTCCGAAACATGATGAACTAGAGGAGGGAAATGGTAACTTGGGCACAAAGCTGTTTGCTTGGCAGGCTGTTGGAGCCTGGCTGGCTGGGGAGCGAGCTGCTGCTGGGGCAATCAGTGCCTGTATTTATTCTGCCTTGGGAATATTCTTGCCGTTGCCAAGGGAACCGGAAGCATCGCTCAAGCCTTTGTCAGACACAAGGAAACTTTTCTATATTTTTCCTGCTTTACGTTACAATAAATAAACGATGCCACAGGCATCGCTTTGTCTCCTTTCATCTGAAACCCACGCAGGCTTGAGAGGGTCTTATTCTGTTTCTCTCCACAAGAGCAGATTGACCAATCTGGGCTGTTCCTCTCCTCTGCTTGGATAATCATCTCCAGGCTCCAACATTCTAAGGTGACCCCATCAGACCCTTGTGCCCTCCTTTTTTTGGCAGACTGCGAGTGTCTGCAGTGTGAGCTGGTTCAAAATTTACCCATTCAAAACCTCCCTGTGTGTTTTATATGGGATCAATCCCTGAGCCAGGTAACTCACTGCTGCCAAATCCAGTACAAGGGTGGATGGAGAAGTGGGAATGCTGAGGGTAGAGGATGAAAATAGCTCCTTTCAGTGAGGGCTGTGTGTGGCACTGACCTGCTCCCATGACACTGACAAACTCAAGCTGTGGAGCTCTCAGTGCCAACACCTGTGTTTCCCTTAAGGCTGGGATTCTCAAAGCTTGGGAATTTTCTTGTTAGAGTTGGCACCCTGCCCTCCCCTGCTCCCTCTGCTTATAACCCCTGTCCAGCAGGGTGCTGCTCCTCAGCCGAGGCCTTTTGAATGTTTCTCTGATTACCACAGTCCCCCATCAAGCTACTATTTTTTTTCTTTACAAGGGATTTGAAAGTGCTCAGCTGAACAAATGTGGATCTCTTCCAATGACCTGAGATCCAGGCTCTGATTTGCCACTCAGACCCAATTAAAAGACATCAGTTCACCTCCCTGTGTCTCCAAACAGCCACTACAAAGAGAATAACCAACATGAGCCTTCAGGCATAAGTGTACAGAATTTTATAATAGGTATTTCCTACCAGTATCGTAATCAGTGAACTACAAAACATAAATATCTAGATGGGAGACAAAAGCCACCTCAGGCACAACTTCCCACAACTATATTTGGCTTCCAAAAGCCTGACTGCCCCAAGGGATTAAAATATGCTGCCCCCTTACTCAGGCTGGTCTGAGCCATCCCGGTTTCAGAGGAACCACCCACACACCTTATGGGCTCATCTCTTTTTTGACACCCATGAACAAAGCACAAACCTTCTGTACCACATGAGAGCATCCCTCATTTCCAGCTTGGCTTAATACTGGCATTCAATTTTATTCCGTGATTAAGACTCTCTACTAATTTCAAGCACTGCTGATTTAGGATTTACCTGGTAACCTGCCTGTTTTTATAACATCTGTATCCAGTCTATTACAATTTGGCAGCATGAGAGCTAATTCAGATTATTTGCACAGACTGGACTCAAGAGCTGGTTATTTTATTTTAACAGTCAAGCTCACTGGTGCTTCATTGTGAACCTCGACATTAACTAGAAGGCAAAAACCACTCTTCACAGACAAAAGGCCAGCTAAAATAAAGCTCTCCAAATTCTATTTAAGGTACCTCTAACCAAAACAATCAAAAAATATCCAACAATAACAAAAAGCAACCCAATTTCCAAAAAGTAGCCAAGATTAAAAAAAAAAAAACAAACAACATAGGGGAATCAGATGGCAATCTCAGAAATTCATTGGGGTATTTTAAAACTTTGTTTAAACATTTATTTAAAGACCTTTTTGCTTTCACATCTGCTGGATGATGACCGTTTTAAAAATCAGGGCTTGATCCTGCAAGACTCTACATAGGCTAGTTCTGACCCAGAAAGAGAGAAATTAATAAAGCCATACTTTGAAAAAGTGCTTGACTAGAGGCCCATAGGTCATCCCACTATGATCATGCCCTGCTGCTCGGCTGACTCAGGGCACTCTTTGGAGTGCTCAGCACTGCAGAGAATCCATCCTTATTAAGATCCTTAAATACAAAATAACGGATTTATTTTCTGCAATTCTGAGGATCCTTTCTGGTGCTACTCCTCAGGTAGAAAACAATTATCTGGGCAATAAGAATTCTTCCTCCCCTGCAGAGGCTGAAGGTTGTGCCACAGGATCTTGTGGCACACACACACACAGGGAATTTCCTGGCGAGTGGGGCTGATGGATGAGATATTTGTCCTGTCACAGAAGAGTCCACACAAGTACACTCTCTCCTAGCACATGTACCCAGAGGCAGATGAGGGACTGTCCCAGTCTTGAAGATTCATTCCTAAATTCCAAGAGCTGCAGGCAAACACGGTGTGAAGCTCATGGCAAAAGAGCTCCATATCTTCCCAGAGCAATGAGACATGTGGAAACTTGAGGAGAAAATCCATGAGGCATGAATATCAAAATCCAGAGCCTAAACTGCTAATATCCATAAGAGACTTTCATGAATTCTCTAAATAATTTGGTGTTATTTTGCTGAGTAAGACTCCCTGATATTCATGTCTTATGCGCTGCTGGAGTCTATTGCTCTTCCAAGGCTTTACAGGAACACTATTTGTCCTGCAGTACAATAGGGCAGAAAAGCTGGCAGTTTCTGAAGCTAAGAATTTCATTTGTTCAGATAAACAGGAACACAAAGGAAAGGAGCTGTTGTTGAAGTTCTGCTTTACTTCTATTCCATTACCTCCATGAGATTCAGTTTTGCCCTTCTACAGTATTTTCCAGAATGATCAACACAATTTTCTTTGGTGTATGCAGCACATTTCTCTTTTGTCCCAACCAAAGAAAGGATCTACTTCATACTCTGAATAATTTTCAAGATGGTATCCCAGCAACAAGCATCCAGCAGTGTGTATGTAAAACTGGCTCTACTTAGATAAATAGCAGAAAAAGGCTGCACTTTCTTCCAAAGACCCAAATGATATTTAAATTTTCTTTTCAGAGACATGTAGTAAATGGAAGAAATAAATCAGCTGATTCAGAAAGCAGCACCTCAGAGATTTTTTTTTCACACTTTTTTCTTGTTTGCTATCAATTAAATGGAAACCCGTCTTTAAAATCTTTCTCTCCCCATTTCTAACCTCACAATATTACTTTAGATAAGATTATTATTGTATTTTATACCTATTTTGCTAACATTCCTTGGAATTTTATGGAACTGAGCTCACAAACCTGTGAAAGAAGGGCTCACAGTAAGGGGTGCCTAAGGTTTGGCTGGGGAAGATTCTGCTCCACTGTTCTGGAGCTGCAGTAATGGGCTCTTTTAAACACTGGGGGAGTAAACATCAAGGAAACCTCACAGAACAGAGCTTCGTATAAGTCAAGGGATCAGGAGATGCAGGCTCTCTCTGCTACAGAATGGTTTTGCCCCACCTCTTGAACCCCTGAAAGAAGGAATTATCCTGCAAGAAGCTTTCCTGGGATTAAAACACAGCTTGAGCAGGGAGAGGGGAGCTGTGGTCCCTCCCAGCCTTACCCAATCTATGACTCTGTGACTCCAGCGTTAACTGGAATCTCCTGCTTGAGGTCATTCTGTCTGAAAAAAGCCTTCTTGAGGGCCAGGTACCATCCTGGAAATGCTGTGGGTTGAGCAGAGCTCCTGGATTAGCAGGATGCAATGGCCGCATCCCTGCAATGTTAGCAGCTTCCACGCCACATTTCCTTCATGCACCTTTTGGTAAGGCAGGGTGGGTTTAGCCTGTCACTTATCTCCAGCTACAGATCACACCTCAGACTAACATTGAAACCATGCCTTGGAAATTGTGCAACAGTCACCTTTTCTTAAAATGCCCTCACAGGATTCCTCAAGGACAGATCACACAAACTCTGTCCTTCCTTGGAATCCTTTTAGGCTTCTTCCATGTGCTCCTGATCCTAAACAACTTCAACACAAAGGTACTCAGAGGGGTATCAGGAACTTCTGTGTGGGAAAGCCAGAGCTGCTGCTGAGGACCCATCCAGCAGCAAAGCCAGCACAGCAGGCTCAGCCACAATCAAACTCAGAAGATCTGAGGAAATAGCAGCAAACTCAAGCAATACTGATCTGGAAAACTGCAGCTGCTTACCCTGGAAGAGGGAAGGTTGCAGGCTTCCAGCGCAGTCTCTACCCGTTTTCTGTCTGAGGAGAACAAGCGGTATATGCTGCAACAAGAGCACAAAACAGAGGGCTTGGCTTAAAGACTGAATATCTCTCAGCAGCCTATTACATCTTTAGCTATTTAGTTCCATTTGCTGGCTGCTCAGTAACAGGGGGGAGTTTAACAGTGCTCAGCTTTAACTCTATCCCACACTAGCCCATATCACAGCAGCTATTTATTTTAGCTACCACTGGTCTCTTCATTCCCCCAGTGACATGCAATTTGAATCTGTTTATTTTCACATATCCCGGAGATAAAGAAATTATGCTGCTGGTTTTTTTTGGTTGTTTTTTTTTTGGTTTTTTTTTTTT